CTAAGAAGAAATACTTTAATCGATATGAGAAACCATCTTACGTGCAATCCCTGGATTTTTTGTCTTACTGAGACTACAAAATATATCATATCATGATCACAAAAATAAAATGAGATTCAATTCACTAATTGCTGGTTCCAAGACAATTGTCACGGTCCTGGGTCTGTGACCCAGTGTTTTCTGTTCTGTATTATTATTAATCTCTCCATTTCTTGATGTATCTTTGTTTATTCTTACGTTTTGGTTCTGTGTATCCCCTCTAGTGTAGTCAGATCTCTGTGTAAAGTCCGCGTCTTTGAGTCTGTGTCTTTGCGTGTGTGAGTTTCCTGTTACCTTGAAGGTCCGTGTCAGATGTCAGTGTGTTCAAGTTACATTTCCGCTGTCTCGTCAGCTCTGATTTCTCCCAGGTGTGTTCCCCTCCTGTCTCCCATCCCTTGATTACTGCTGTGAGTATTTAAGCCCTGTGTGTTCTCCTGCCTGTTGTGGGTTTGCCTGTGTTAATGTCCAGTGGCAACCTGGGTTTCCCTGTGTGTTTCTATGGGTCCCTGGGTCTGCAGTTAGTGTTTCAAGTTTGTTTTGTTAGTTTTTTCCAGTTTAAGTTTTGTTAAATATCCTCCACACCCCTGCCGTTTCTTTTTGTATCTCCACCTTCTCAATAACACTCCCCTGCATCTCAGCTGCCAGTATCTTGGGTCCTCATTAAATTCCACACGGCTCATCCTGCGAGCCTGGACAACAGTAAAAAGTATAATATGTAAGTGATGTGCGAAAAAGAAAAAAAAATCTGCTTATTTAAATCACTTGAGTTCATGCATTTAGTTTCTTTGTAAAACTGTGGAAAGGCAGCAAACAAAACATATTTCAGTGTAGTAGGATTAATAAACAACTATAGGTTATTTTGCTTGCTTCCAGCAATTGGTGGAATTTATAGATTTCCATTAAAACCCATAACATCATAGATGAGTGGAAATGGAACACAGAGGCATACAGTAACATAGATTTGAAAGCGCATATTAGTAAGTGAAATTGTCACTAGCTGAAAGGTGATTTAACCAGATCCCTCAGTTTCTGTAGACATTCTTAGAATTTGATCTGCTCTTGTCAGAGACTTCAGATCTTTTTGTACCTGGAATCTGCTGAAGGCACTTTAATGGTTTTGGGATTGATACCGCCAACTACCACTAGTTAACCTGCTAAACCTGTTCCAGTTGTACCTCCAGGCCCTGATACTTCTTAATTTCACAAGTTGGTATAAAGACATCATCTTGCCCAAACGATGTCGTGCCAACACGTTTCTTAAAAAAGATTTTGAATGTTGTTCTGTTCTGACATTTTAGCAATGTTTCATAGCAGTCTTAGTTCAGGGGTGGTGCCAGCCTGCTTTAAACATGTTGTTGTGCATGTGTATTTAAAAAACCTAATCTTGATTCCTTTGTTCTTGCAAATTTTAGGCCTATTTCAAAGCTCCATTTTCTGTCAAAAATCTTAGAAAAGATTGTATTTGTTCAGGTGCAATCCTTTCTAAATTGTCACAATGTTCTTGAGAGGTTTCAATCTGGTTTTAAAGCCTTTCACAGCACCAAACCTGCACTTTTAAAAGTTCTTATCGATCTTTTACTAGCCACTGACTCAGGTGACTCAGCTGTGCTTCTGCTTTTAGACTTGACCACTACCTATGATACTGTTGACCACAGCATCTTGATCTCTCGGTTGGAGCACTGTGGCATCAAAGGCACTCCTTTAGAATGGTTCAGGTCACATCTCTCTGAAAGGACTTTTTCTGTGAGCCTTGGAGATTTTATGTCTTCCTCAGCCCCCTTTACGTGCGGTGTTCCCCAGGGATCCGTACTAGGGCCAATTCTGTTCTCTATCTATATGTTGCCTCTAGGTCTAATTTTCAGGAAATATAATATCTGTTTTCACTCATATACTGACGACACTCAGATTTATCTTCAGCTAAAGAGTAATAGCTCCGCTTCGCTGGAATCTTTATTTCAGTGTCTCGGCAAAGTTAAGGCCTGGATGGCCCCTGATTCTTTTTTTTTAATTTCAACGAGTATAAAACTAAAGTGATCATTTTTGGACCAAGTTGCATTTCTAGCACCTCAGATCTATGCAATTTTTTTGCATGCTATTTGACAGAAGGTACTAACCTTCTGTCAAATAGCATGCAAAGAAATTTGGGGGTTATATTGGATAATAAGGTCACTTTTGAGAAACAGATTAACTCAGTTGTACAGCAGTCCTCCTTTAAATTAGGGCTTTTATCCAAGGTGAGATCATTTTTATCTTTTAAAACCTAAAGCGGACAATTCACGCTTTTATTCTACCTCAACTGGACTACTGTAATTCTTTATATGTAGGCAGACTTGTTTAGCAAGGCTCGAGGTGGTCCAGAATGCTGCAGCTCATCTCTTAAGACAAATGAAGAGACACAAACATATCTCCCCAGTGTTTGACTCACTTCACTGGCTCCCAATCCGCTTTAGAATTCAGTGCGCCCCAGGGTGGTTGTGGCTACAATGTAGCTTGCCATCACCAGTGTGTGAATGTGTGTGTGAATGGGTGGATGACTGGTTGTGTAAAGCGCTTTGGGGTCCTTAGGGACTAGAAAAGCGCTATACAAATACAGGCCATTTATTTACCATAGAATTAAATATAACATTTTACTGGTGACTTACAAAGCACTGAATGGACAGGCCCCAGAGTATCTGTCTGACTTACTGCAGCCTTATATGCCCCCTAGAGCTCTTAGGTCAGGTAAACTTTTGCTCTTGGCTACACCAAAGTCGAGGCTGTTTCATAGAGGTGTGGAATGATTTAGCTCTCCACATCAGAAAGGCCCACTACCGTCAATCTTTTTTAATCCTATCTCAAAACACATTTTTACTCATTGGCTTTCAACGCAGCATGAGTTATTTATGTATTTACTTATTTATCTGTTACTTGGTATTCGTTATTTGATATTGATGCTATTTTCGTTACATTAATTTTAATGTGTAATTTCTATCTTTGTACATCACTTTGGCCAACACTTTTGTTGTAATTAAATGTGCTATGTAAATAAATAAACAATAAATGATAAGTTCAGAAGTTGAACTTCAGAACCTGTAATCTGCTGAATGCACTCTCCCAGTTTAAGGAATGAAGCCTCTAATGCACACATTCAACTTCTCAGCCTGCTCCAGTTGTACCCAAATCCTCTTAATCTCACAATTTTACTGTCACCAATCTGGAACTTCTTGTTGTTTTCAACCACTTTTGGAGTTGTGTCCCATTGTTTGTCTGTACAAAGAACATGTAAATTCCACACAAAAGCTGCACCCAGCAAAGTGGTTCACCTCCAGCCTATAATTATCCTTTGTTTATAATCTTAATATTGCTGAATTATTGGTCTCTAGATGTAGTAGTAATAATACTTTCACTTAAGGATTTAAATACTTGCCTCACCATGGTTCCTTTAGTTTTGGTGGGGGGGTTTTCTCACTGGTTATTTGATATCATGCACATGTATGTAAAGATAAAGAAAACCTTAGAATTTTGTCTCTGTGTACAAAGGTAAAGGTTACAACCAAAATAAGTTTTTTTTTTCTTTCACATGCCAGAATGTGGTGCTTGACTCATGAAGACAGCAAGCAACTCTGAAAGCCTTTAAATAAAGAGTAAAGTGTTTATTGAAATTTTATTTTCACAAAACCCATTTGAAGTATCCCGATTACATCATGCACTCTCAAACTGATAAACAGCACTGAAACTAACTGTACTCCCACCCGTCACACCCGATTCTGAAACTATATTGTGACCTTAAACACAAATCCTAATGACAGTGTGATTTATTTAAGCACATTGAGTCTGGTAGGTCTGACAAATTTAATGTGGTTTGGAAAAGACTTTAAGAGAGTTGGAAGAGAATGTATTTACTGCATATTTGAAAACAGTCCTTTAATACAGAGAGGACAAAAAAAATCACAACTGGCATTATTCTAAAATTGTAATATAGGAGATCATCATTCATTACAACAAATGTAATAGAATATAATAGATTAGCTGGAAGACAGTGTAATAATAATAATGGAAGACTGATTAGTTGTGATTCATTGTGCTGAGAAAGATATGCCCTCGGTTTACAAGAACTGGTGGTTTAACGTGGCACGGCACAGAGGCGGTAAGGTTTGGGACTGCGAGTGGCTCCTAACTTGAACTCCAGACTGGGCTGCTCTCCAGCAGGTGCAGAGAATGAAAACCTCTGAAGGAGGGAAGTAAAAAACAAGAATAACTCCATCCGGGCCAGCTGTTCTCCAAGACATGAGCGCTTGCCTGAGTACACAATGAGACACAAGTTTTATTCACACAATTTAGAAGTTAATCACTTTGATCACAGATTATTGCTGCAGCTGTGGAACTTAATAGAGATATCATTAAGAGACCGATCCCCAAAAAAGGCTGTAACTGTAAATGGCTGCTAATTCATACAATTAATGGCAAGACATACTACTTTATTAATCTTGCCTCCTTAAAACACTTGGCTTGAAACATCCTTTAACTGGATTTTGAGGAACTGCAACAACTGACTAACCTGTAGAAAAAGGAAGGAAGGCCTCTCTCCTCCTGAATTTACCATCCTGGTCGAGAAAGTGTTGAGGGTTGAAGGAGTTTGGAGTTTCCCACATTGTCTCGTCATTTAAAACCGAGTGTAGAGCAGGTATGATCATTGTACCCTGAGAAAATACTGGCAGTTAGAAGTGTTAAACACATGTCTAGTGTTTGTTCTAATCAGCGTGTCATACGTTTTCTGGTATTGCTGATAGTTCATGCATTTATTACTTCTACATTCATCTATTCATTATTAACAGGTTGCTCAAAATGCTCGCTGAAAAGCCTTCAGATGATTCAAAATGCTGCAGCAAGAGTACCGACAGAGACTAGAAAGAAAGAGCATATTTCATTCATATTAACTTCGATAAAACTTGTGGTTCCCAGTGCATTTAAAAGTAGAATAGGAGGCAGAGCCTTCAGCTTTCAGGCCCCTCTTCTATTTCTCCCAGTTTGGATGTGGGAGGCAGACACCCTCTGTACTTTCAAGATTAAGCTTAAAACTTTCTTTTTTGATAAAACATATAGTTTCCATGATGCACTGAGTGGTTCTTCTTCAAAACAAAATGTTATTGAGGACAACAAACTTTGAGAGTCCTGGCATTAGATGATAAAAGGACAACTTTTTCATTCAACATCTATCTGAGAAAACAAAAAACACCAAAAAGTGCTATAAAAAAATTCATCTTCGCAATTCCTTTGTGTACCTTTGGGATTGTGTACTTATCCAATGTTGTGTCCTTGTTTGCAACATGGGCCACATTGAGGGGAATGATGTTGCCCATTCTCTGGATCTCATGGATGACCGCATCAGTATACGGCATGTTTTCTCTGTCAGTCATAGACGGCTGTCTGGATGAACCAATCACAGCATCGATCTCAGCCTGGACTTTTTCTGCACATAGTGAGAAAACAAACTGGTGGCTGTTGTCGCAATTTGGCACTAATAAAAGGAACCTGGATTAAAAAATAAAACTGAAATAAACTGAACAAAATTAACCAACACAAGAATGATCTGTGAGAAATCTGTTAGATTTGTATTGTTGGATTGTCATTTATGCCTAGAAATATATATTTATTAGGTTTAGGGAAGTCGTTTATGGGGTCACACACACACACACAGACATACTTACACGGTACTCTTTGTGTGTATGTATACGTCGTATGTTAATGAACCTATGTATATTCATGTAACCTAAATAAAAGAGCAGTGTTACGGGGGAACGGACGAGAGCAACTGGGGTCAAGCGAAGGAACGGCGTTTGTCCAATTCTCTCCCGTGCACGAGAAACATAAAGAACTTTGCCTACTCATGTCTTGCTTTGCTGTGTAGTTAAATTGTCTTGAACGTTCCAGCGAATAGGTTTAAGCTACAAACCTGTCAAAATCTCTGAAAAAAACGAATAGAAAGATGGTCACAAGTGTGTATTCAGGATTAATATTGTTCATACACACACCTTGAATGTCTGGGTAGTAGATCATGTATAGCAGTCCCCAGCGTAAAGTAGTTGTAGTGGTTTCAGTTCCAGCACCAAACAAGTCCAGGGTGCAAAAACACAAATTGCTGAGACTAAAACCAGAGTCTTCGTCCTCCTTCTATCAGAGTCACAAAAGCCAGACGCAGGAAATAAAAGGCATGTTTTTTAGAAAATGTAAATGAACAAGAACACATTTTGAAAACACTTACCTCCCCCATTTCTATGAGAAAAGCATCAATGTAGTCTCTTGGTGATGATGGGTTGAGGTTTTCTCTGTGTTCTTTGATCTTGACTTCTACAAAATCAATTATCTTTTGGATCAGAGTGAATATTTTTTGGTGAGGTCCAGGCAGCCACCTCATTAGCCAGGGTAATGTGTTGTAAATCTACAGAACAGGAAGACAGTAGCAGTAATAGGTCAAATTTTGCAAAAGTAGGCTTAACCTGTGATCGGCAGTAATGAAAAGTAACCGAGTAAAATCATTTAAACACAATTTTGAAGCATACTTTAATAGTAATTAAAATCTCTTTTACACCACAGCAGATTTCATAAGTGACTTTCTTCCTCCACTGCAGTTAAAGGAACACAACAGTAAAATATTTCAGGAAAGATAATCTGCGTTGAGATATCAGTCTGAGAATCTGAGACAAGGCACAGCCCTGGTGGAGTCTAATGTGAACAATAGCTATGCTCCTCTAACTGCTCTGTTTGCAAAAACAGCTTTCACTTGGGCTGCACAAAAAAGTGCAGCTAAAGTTTCTTATTTGTTATTTTTAAATCCTGAATCAAACAACACTAACATATGTGAAAGAGTTTCACCTGTGCCCACACGCTTCCCTCCAAGTACACTATGTCACTGAAGAGCTGCAGAATAGACTGAAACTGCTCATCGGTGTACTCAAAACGATTCCCAAACACCAAACAGCAAATGATGTTGGACACAGCATTGTTTAACAGTGACTGGGTATTAAAAGGTTTTCCTGAAAGAGCATATGTTCATTAGACAAAACATTAAAGCAAACTCATAATTAATTTCGATTATGTAAAAAAATTGTGTACGTTTTGTGTGTGTGTGTGTGGGTGTGTGTGTGTGTGTGCCTTGGTGATCTGCAAAAGCCTCTGTGAGATACTGGCACTCCTGCTGGATGGAAAACTCCAGGGTCTTCTTGCCCAGACCAAAGTTTCTGAGTGTGTGAAGAGCAAATCTCCTCTGTTGCTTCCACTGATACCCATTTGATATCACAAGACCTTTTGGAAAAACAAGACTGCGTTAGGCCCAAAGTAACTTAAAAATAAGGTCAGTAAAATACTGACCTAAGTTTTAACATTGCTAAATAGTCAGATGATGCTGGTCTTATTAAAACATCTTGAAAAACTTTTCAAGGAAAATTATCACCTTTATTCCCAACCAATTCTTCAAACATTGGTAGGCTGGGGCGATCCATGAAGTCTTCTCCTCGTTGGATTAGGGCTTCTTTGACAAGCTTGTAGCCATTAATGATCACAGTTCTTTGACCAAAGAATCGAAGGCTGAATATGTTTCCATATTTCTCTGCAAACTGAACATGAACAGAAGATTTTGTTTAGTGTTGGGTTGGGATCTGCCTCATTTGGGTGACCGCTTCATAATTTTGGCTATTTCCTCTTAAGAAAGCCAATATTAATACAGCTTCTTCTGAATAAAATACAGCTTCACATACAGCAACGTCCCTTTCTCTCAATAAATAACCAAAAAGACAAGATAACAAAAACTTTATTCATACCATAGGTAGGCATTTTATATAAGAAAATATTTAAGACAATGTTAAACTCTGTGACTGTTGTGCTCTATTGCACATTTCAAAAGCAATTAAAAGCAATTTACTTGCTTTATAAATGCACTGTCTGTTTGTTTATCACTTTCCAGCCCACTAGTAACTCATGATAATGGTTGCGTTCTATGAGTATTAGGGCGAGAAAAAAAATACTGTTGATCATTTTGAGAATAAGATCAAGAATGTATTTTGAGAAAAAAGTCAAAATACTGTTCTTTGAAAAAAGGCGAAATTATGTTTCTGGGGAAAAAGTCAAAAAGTCTATTTAGAGGAAAAAGTCCAAATGTGGAGATTACAGTAGTTGTTTCACGACAAACTGCCACGTTTGCTATACCCTCTAAGTTAGTGAAAGCATACTTCAGAATGAGTTTTTAGTAAGAAGAAAGGAAATTATTTCTGTTTGGCACATAAACAAATTAGGATGTTGAAAAGATGGTGCAGAAAGCTTCATCTGCTCAGATGGAAAACCACACAAACTTCAGACAGTTGTCCAGATTTGTACAAAATGAAATTGATATTTGTAAGGTTATTGATAGTTACTCTTGTCCAATAAAGAGGTCATATGTCAGGATTCTGGCCTTCTACAAGTTCCTAAAGCCAGAAAAAAGACTATCGGAGAGCGTGCTTTTTCTTTTCTTGCCCCATTTTTGTAGAACAACCTCCTACAAGGCATGCTCTGTGGAGGTTTTTAAAGCTAAGTTGAAGACCCACTTGTTCACCGTATCCTACGTGTCTTAATTCGGTGTAATACCACTTTTAATGCCTGGGGCATGTTATTTTTATAACATGACATTTTATTAATAAAAATTAGTAGTAGCAGTAGCAGTATGTATACCTCTGCAAACTGCAGATGAATTCTATCAGGTCTGATGCGATGAAGATTTCCAATGAAAGGCAGAGCCCTCGGTCCGGGAGGAAAGTTTTTTGGCACTCTGTTCTTCAAAACTTCAGTCGTAAGCAGAAGAACAAACAAAAAGATTAAAATGCTCCTGCCGTCTATCCACTCTGAGCCAAGAAGGCTGTATAATGTCTCCATGTCTTCGCTTAGTTAGGCTGTCGCTTATTGTCGCTTGTTAAGATGGGCTTTATCTGCAAATATGACGATGATTGTTTTATTACCAGAGGACGTGGAAAGACGCTTTCAAAATAAAAGCGCGTGGTTAAGACTTAACCAATGTAAAATTACACTACATCTCTAAGACACGCTGTTACAACTGTTACACCTGTACCAGGTGGTTAAGAAAAATCGGAGTTGTAACAGTGTATGAAGTTAGGAAAATTTAGGGCTATGTTAAGGAGGAACACAGGTAACACAGTGAACAGTGCTTCATCCATCAGGCTGTCAGGAAGCTTAACTCCCTCCCGATTCTGCCCCCTCTCCCCTCTTCTCCTCCATGGTCTCACTGAACTCTGTCACACACACACACACTCTGACTCACTCACTGGCCTGCACCAGTTACCAGTCACTTTGTGGAGCATTGGACTGCCATTACCTTTTGAAAATTGTATTTAAATTGTTAAGAGATGTTAACCCTTTCACGCATAGTGGTCACGACAGTGGACAGCTATTCAAACGCTGTTTTCATTTTTCATTTACCCATTATATTGTATATTGTATAGCTTTCTTGTTATATGTAAAATTGTATTGTATTTATTTATTTAAATTTTTACTTTTTAATTATTTTACCTGCATTTTTTAATCACTCTTATATTTAAATGTTCATTTGCTTTTTTATCTAGGGATTGAGAGTAACGTAGTTTCTATTCTCTGTATGTCCTGTACATGTGGCAGAAGTTACGATAAATTGAGCTATGACTTAGGAGGACATGGTAACATGCTTGTTTCAGGTCTTAGACACACGGTGCTTTCAGGGAGGATTATTATTATATAATTATAATTAATTAAGAAAACACCCAAGAAATAAAACTTTTACCTTTTAGTTAAATTTAGAAAGCTTATGGCTTTGTTTTTCACTGACTGTCTACTTTGTTTTTTCTCAAAAAATTACGTAATATATTTATTAAATATTTCATTCACAAAGATCTAATTTGTGATTTAAGCACGATCAGTTTTTGAGCAGTATATTTCAGACCTCTACTGGCCTGTATGGTTTACAGTAGTTGGTATTCTTCTTCTGTCGACCTTTGGGTTCTTGCCATAATTACATAACATATTCAGAGCCAAAGAAAACAACACACTCAGTGTGTAAAAAGTTTAAACCGCCCAGTAGGTTAAAGGCATTGGCACCTTATCTTGAAACCCGACTCCTAAGTTGGTTTGGAATGTGGGAAGAATAATGAGGAGAACTTTAAAGAAAAATTATTTAAAATGACACAGTTAACAAAAGATATCGGTGTGCCTTTTATTCGAATGGATCGCTTTTATGTATAAACACTGCCTTAAGAGAATAGTGATTAATTGTTTAAAATGTATTTTTAAAAAAAGGGGGAAAGCAAGTTGAACTGAACAAGGGGATGTTAAAGTAACAGAGTCGTTTGTTAGTCATTAAATGCTGCCCAATAATTAATCTCTATACAACAATTTGTTTGCAGGTTTGTGTATTCCTGCTATTACATTGAGGCCGACAGTTTGTTGAAGTTGTTTTCAGCATGCTTCAATTTACAATCAGCTCCATAGTAACCAGCTGGAAGAGCTCAACCTCCTGACTTGTTATTTACAATGGAATTCCCAATAGGTCCTCAGTCTTATGTAACATGGTTGGGGCCTCCACCGAGGAGCTTAAGTCCACACTTCATTTGTTCCTATGCTTGTTACACAAAAACTAGCAGCCATCCTGAAACTTAGAGGTGGAATATATGAAAAAAGTAAATTTAGTACAGATCTTTTTATCGTTACTTTCCAAGCCATGTATGAATATTGCTGGCTGGTGGATGTTCTGTTTTGTTTATTCTGTGAAATACCAGCAGCCTTAGTTCCCAAACAGCCACAGGGCTTTGCCTTTTTCAAGAAATGTTTTCACTGGAGTTGACTTAAAAACAACGGAAGTTGCAAAAGTCTCTGATAAAAATACAGACTGCTGAAAAATTAAAGGAAAAACATGAACCCTTGACTCCCTGTCTTAGGTGGTAAGTTTCTACAAGTTTCTTGCATTGCTTCATTAAGTAAATTACTTTATACTCTGACAGTGTAGCAAGACAGGCGAGATCTGCAAAGAGTGGTGCGCTCAGCCGAACGCATCATTCAATCAGAGCTCCCTGACCTGCTGTCCATCTACACCAAGCGGTGCAAGTCCAAAGCTAGGAAGATTATGATGGACCTCTCCCATCCCAACAATGGACTCTTCTCACTGTTGAGGTCTGGGAAGCGCTTCCGCTCCCTTAAGGCCAAAACAGAGAGAATGAGGAGGAGCTTCTTCCCCCAGGCTATTCAGCCTGAACCAGGTGTAGGACTGGATCAGAATGGGGTTTATTGCCAAATGTTGAGCAGGTTTACAACATTAGGAAATTGCTGCGGTGCTTCAGTGCAAACATGGTGTCATAAATAACACTTAAATAGACATGGAAAAAATAAAAGTAGGGATAAGAATTAAAAGTGCTACGTGGAAAGATATGTGCATGAGATATATACATGAGAGTAAGAATTAAGAGTGCTACGTTGAAAGATATATACATGAGTGCAGGTGGTGATCAGTGCCAAACATGGAATGATACAGTGAACACAGCGTAGGGTCATGTGTTAGTGGCGGGGACAGTCATATGGTTATTGTTCATGTGTCCAACAGCAGAGGGGAAGAAACTGTTCTTATGGCGAGAGGTTCTGGTGCGAATGGACCGGAGCCTCCTGCCTGAGGGGAGCAGGTCAAACAGACTTGGTGAGAAGGTTACATTATTATGTGTCTGAGGTGTGGATGTGACTGGGAGTTCCAATGAGGAGGAGCTTCTTCCCCCAGGCTATTCGGGCCCTGAACCAGGTGTAGGACTGGACTCTCACACACATCACATCACCACACACACCACCACACATTTCCTATAATCCTATAATTTATAATCTTTATAATCTTTATAATCTCTTCTGCTATTTGCACATTCTTTACTGTAAATTCCTAAGTTAATTTGTAAATTTTGTAGTAACCTGTAAATTGTAAATATTGTAAAACTTTTCTTCTGTCATTTAATGGTCGGGCATTGTACAAGCATTTCACCCCCATGTCATACTGTGTATGGTTGTGTGTGTGTGACAAATAAAATTTGAATTTGAATTTGAATTTGTAGCGGTGTCTACACTTTTAGCTCTATACTACGTACAAAATGGCTGAGTTGAATTAAAGTCATGTCAGTATTAATTCAGTTTTATTACAGCATCAATTTACAATAAGTTATCTCAAGTCATAAAAGGTAAAGACACTTGCAAATCAAATCAGAATTTGTCAGTTGCTTTAATAAAGTTGGTTTTCTGCTTTTATTACACTTACACTTACACTAAAGAGAGAGAGAGAGAGAGATAACGTTCTTGAACATCAAAAACAATAGCAGAAGACAGTCATTGAGAGCGCAGAGAAACAGACATGCTCAGCTGAGGATAACTCGTGCTCTAACGTGGCACAGCACACAGACGATAAGGTTTGGGACTGCGTGTGGCTCCCAAAATGAAGTCCAGACTGGGTTTCTCTCCAGCAGGTGCAGTAACTGAAAACTTCTGCAGCAGGGAGGTGAAAAACAGGAATAACTCCATCCTGGCCAGCTGCTCCCCAAGACACACACGCTTACCTGAGAATACACAAGACTACATGTTTTAAATACATAATTTACAGGGTTTCCACGCTAATCACAGCATATAACAATTATGTATTCATTTAGATCAACAAATAAAGCACAAGAACATTTAAAAGCACACAATTTAATGCAAGGAACAAGCAGCAGAGTATCTGCTAATCTGTATCTACTTCACCACTTTATCACTGTATTGAGTAGTGTAAATATGATTATGCTACAAATAATCAAAATAATATGCTACATATACAAAAAGTTGACCATAAGCAGCAACATGTAGCATTTTTTAAACTTCTGCCTAAAACAGCATTTACCAGAGTTTTAAAGGATTGCAACTGATGACTAACCTGCAGAAAAGGGAATGAAGGCCTCCCTCTTCCTAAATTTTCCATCCTGGTCCAGAAAGTGTTGAGGGTTGAAGGAATGTGGAGTTTCCCACATAGACTCATCATGTAGAACAGAGTGCAATGGAGCCAAGATCTTGGTGCCCTGAAAAATACCATTTGTTCAAATTGCAGGATTTGAACTTCCCATTGGCTACAGTTCTTTAGCATCAACACTTGGTATTTGAGTATCTGAGTATTTGAGTTGTAACTGTTCTTTGTTCATTACTTATGCTCCCGTGTCAGGGTGTTTCCAGAGGTGGGAAGTAACAAACTAACTTTATTACTGTAACTAGAATTTTCAATTGTATTCTATTCTATCCTATTCTATTTTATTTATATAGCGCCAAATCACAACAACGGTCGCCTCAAGGCGCTTTTTATTGAACAGTAGATCGTACAATAATAGATACAGAGAAAACCCAACAATCATATGACCCCCTATGACCCCCTTAATACACTTGGTATTTGAGTATCTGAGTATTTGAGTTGTAACTGTTCTTTGTTCATTACTTACAGACATCTGCTTTGATAAAGTAGACTTTATCAAAGTAGATGTCTTTCTGAAAGCGCTGTAACTAAGTTTAAGAATATAATCCACCCACTGTTATCATCTTCAATGCCCTGTACCAACACAGAGCAGAGCAGCTATCTGAACGCTACCCCAACAGAGGTCGATTATCTTGTTAATAATTTCACCTCCTCACTACGTACGACTCTGGATACTGTAGCTCCTGTGAAAACTAAGGTCTCTAATCAGAAGTACCTGACTCCGTGGTATAATTCTCAAACACGTACCCTAAAGCAGATGACTCGTAATCTGGAGAGGAAATGGCGTGTCACAAATTTAGAGGATCATCATTTAGCCTGGAGAAATAGTTTGCTGCTTTATAAGAAAGCCCTCCGCAAAGCCAGAACATCTTACTATTCATCACTGATTGAAGAAAATAAGAACAACCCCAGGTTTCTCTTCAGCACTGTAGCCAGGCTGACAAAAAGTCAGAGCTCTTTTGAGCCAACCATCCCTTTAACGTTAACTAGTAATGACTTCATGAACTTCTTCACAAATAAAATTTTATCATTAGAGAAAAAATTACCAATAATCATCCCACAGATGTAATATTATCTACAGCTACTCTTAGTACCATTGATGTTAAGTTAGACTCTTTTTCTCCAATTGATCTTTCTGAGTTAACTTCAATAATTACTTCTCTTGGGCAAGACACTTCACCCGTTGCCTACTGGTGGTGGTCAGAGGGCCCGGTGGCGCCAGTGTCCGGCAGCCTCGCCTCTGTCAGTGCGCCCCAGGGTGGCTGTGGCTACAGTGTAGCTTGCCATCACCAGTGTGTGAATGTGTGTGTGAATGGGTGGATGACTGGATAGTGTAAAGCGCTTTGGGGTCCTTAGGGACTAGTAAAGCGCTATATAAATACAGGCCATTTACCATATTTACCATTTCCTCCAAACCATCAACGTGTCTTTTAGACCCCATTCCTACAAAACTGCTCAAAGAAACAGCTTTAGTCAAACAGCTAACAGATCATCTGCAGAGGAATGGTTATTTGAAGAGTTTCAGTCAGGTTTCAGAGTTCATCACAGCACAGAAACAGCTTTAGTGAAGGTTACAAATGATCTTCTTATGGCCTCTGACAGTGGACTCATCTCTGTGCTTGTCCTTCTAGACCTTAGTGCAGCATTCGACTGTTGACCATTATATCCTATTAGAGCGATTAGAACATGCTGTAGGTATTACAGGTACTGCACTGCAGTGGTTTGTATCATATCTATCTAATAGACTCCAATTAGTGCATGTAAATGGAGAGTCCTCTTCACACACTGAGGTTAATTATGGAGTTCCACAGGGTTCAGTGCTAGGACCAATTCTGTTTACATTATACATGCTTCCCTTAGGCAGCATCATTAGAAGACATAGCATACATTTTCACTGCTATGCAGATGACACGCAGCTCTATCTGTCCATGAAGCCAGATAACACACACCAATTAGTTAAACTGCAGGAATGTCTTAAAGACATAAAGACCTGGATGGCCGCTAACTTTCTGCTTCTTAATTCAGATAAAACTGAGGTTATTGTACTCGGCCCTGAAAAGCTTAGAAATATGGTATCTAAGCAGATTCTTACTCTGGATGGCATTACCTTGGCCTCCAGTAACACTGTGAGGAACCTTGGAGTCATTTTTGACCAGGACATGTCCTTCAACGCACATATTAAACAAATATGTAAGACTGCTTTCTTCCATTTGCGCAACATCTCTAAAATTAGAAATATCCTGTCTCAGAGTGACGCTGAAAAACTAGTTCATGCATTTATTACTTCCAGGCTGGACTACTGTAATTCATTATTATCAGGATGTCCAAAAAACTCACTGAAAAGCCTTCAGCTAATCCAAAATGCTGCAGCAAGAGTCTGACAGGGACCTTCCAGTTTGGATTCGGGAGACAGACACTATCTCTACTTTTAAGATTAGGCTTAAAACTTTCCTTTTTGCTAAAGCATATAGTTAGGGCTGGACCAGGTGACCCTGAATCCTCTCTTAGTTATGCTGCAATAGACTTAGGCTGCTGGGATTCCCATGATAGTGATGAGAAAGGAGACTAGAAAGGAAAAACTCAATGCATCATGGGAATCCCCCATACCTATGTCTATTGCAGCATAACTAAGGGAGGATTCAGGGTCACCTGGTCTAGTTTTCAGGTATCTGTATTTGAATATTTATTCTTCTGACAACTTTGTACTTTACTCCCTACATTTTTAAACAAATATCTGTACTTTCTACTCCTTACGTGTTCAGAAAATGCTCATTACTTTACGTTCAGTGTTATCATTTATAACGTTTATACTCAGGGGTTAAAGTTGGCCGGAACTTTAATAAGGCAGGTGTCTGTATGTTGTGTTGGCGGTACTTCAGCATCTAGCTAGTGCTACAGATAAGGAGGATGCATGAAGCGAGTGTTTTTTAAGTTGCATGCAATTTAAAAATCAATGTTTCTATCAGTCTAAGTAGCCTGAAAAGAAAAGCGCCTGGACTTCTTTAAGTTTCCTTCACAGACAGTTTCTATTAGCTCAGCAAACATCAGAAAACACACAAGCTGTTTGTGTGCACTTTTTCGCACAGTGCGTTCATAGCTAAAGGTCAAGTTGATGGATTTCACAGGGAGAGAAGAGAATGAGAGCTAACTTCACTGGGAGATGGATAAAGATTTGGGAAGAAAAACCCGACAGGAGATGAGGAAGAGAGGTTCGATTTAAAGCTGGAGACTGCACAGTGACGCTTAAACAGAAAATTTAAAGCTTACATGCAATGTCATTATTTTAACCACATGTTGGAACTGTGTATGATATGTTTTGATAAGTTATGTATTTTCATTGTCGTAAAATGTCCTGCAAAACAAACTAACCTATATTAACTTTGTGCTATTCAAATGTTGCATGGAAATACTGGGTAGTTTTGTCCAGGATAAACAGGTTAGTTTGCATTACAGGGCTGAATTTACAGTAAAGCACTGTGTTGGACTGGTGCACCGTAGCTGTGGTGCTCCTGGTCAGATTTAGGTTACATCAAGTGTAGCAGCAACTTTGCATTTTAGATGATCATGCTTAGATTACTTCACTGAATTTAAACTTTATAGCAACTCTGTATAAAGTGTAGGGGGATAGACATCTGCCAGGATAGATGAAAAAACACATCTACACTTGTTGTGTAATTGTGTAAATCTACAGAGAAGAGCAGGTCAGCTGATCATATCATGTACGCTAAAAACTTCCCGGAGCCATAGCTGGACTGGCCATCAGATCATGCATAGCAGGCATCTGCCCGGTGGGCCAATGGGGAGTTTTTGTTTTTATGGGCCGATGGTTTTTATTTGTGTGTGTTTGTTGATTCGTTTTTTTGTAACAGTATAAACAACGAAAGGTGGTGGACTGGCCAGAAGCTGGCCGATGTGTAAAATGTAAAAATAACTCAGTTGTTTGGTGGTGGCTATGGTGGAGCTTCCACTGAGCTCAGCAGGTGGATGAGGGAAAGGTGGATGAATAGTGGAATTGTAAAGTGCTTTGAGTGTCTAGAAAAGCGCTATATAAATGCAATCCATTATTAGTATGTACCTTTGACACATCTGATTATCTCAGAGTTTTTCTTTTTAACTGGCAAACATTTGTTACTGGTTGATTGTGTACCTTTGGGATTGAGTACTTATCCAGAGTTGTGTTCTTGTTTGCCACGCGAAGTATGTTAAGTGGGGCAATATTTCCACTTCTCTGGATTTCATGAATAACTGCATCAGTGAACGGCAGGTTTTCTCTGTCACTTGTAGACGGCTGCCTGGATGAACCAACCACAGCATCTATCTCAGCTTGGACTTTCTCTGCACACACAGAAAACAGGAAAATAAGTGTTGTGCACAGTTGACTAAGCTCACAAAATATGTATCCCTGATAGATATTACCCTGACACACCTTGTATATCAGGGTAGTGGATCATATATAAAAGTCCCCAATGTAAAGTAGTAGTTGTGGTTTCAGTTCCAGCGCCAAACAGGTCCATTGTGCAAGCCATCAAATTTTCGAGATAAAACCCAGAATCTTTATCTTCCTTCTATCAATGATACAAGAGAAAATTGTTATATTTGATTATGTACACAATATAAATACAAACCATCTTATCAAAACGTTTTGTAAAGTAAAGAATAAAATTTTTTAAATTCCCCTCTCGCCTCCATGAAGGTGCAGAGATCTTGGATGTTGTTCCTGGTATCTGCTGGAGCCACTTGTTTTGCTCCGGGGTCACTGCACCAAGTGCACCGTAACAGTGCAAGATCAACAGGACCCTAAGAGCCTTCATCAGGAACTCAACGGGGATGTGGCGAACAACACTAGAGACCAACAGGATCTACCAAGGAGATGCACTGTCCACACTGATGTTCTGCATAGATCCTCTCAGAGAGGTAAGGCTGTCAGAACGGAGGGGATCACACTACCAGAAGGAAACATTGCAGACACTGAGGACAGACCACCCCCTAGGGTGGTTGAGAATGACGGAGCTAAGAACCTGTGGGACTTCCAGATACAGACAGACAAAATGGTGATGGTTAACCAACCAGACATAGTAGTTGTAGACAAGCAGGAGAAGATGTAGCAGAAGACGTACTGATAAACGTACCAATACGAAATGACAGTAACATCTCAAAGAATGAACAAGAAATACTGCAAAGTACCACGGGCTCAGAGAAGAGCTGAAGAAGGTGGAGAGTGAAGGTAACAGTGGTTCCAGTGGTAATCGGAGCACTAGGTGCAGTGACTCCCAAGTTAGCTCAAGCTAACTCCAGCAGATCCCTCTGTCCAGAAGAGTTAGAGTTAGAACCCTTAAGCTCCCAGCCCTCTGGTAGAGGACCTGAGCTTGAAGGATAGACTACTTGCAGAGGCGAGAGGGGAATTAATTTTTTTCATAAAAGCAAATCGAGATAGACATTAAAACACTAACCTCTCCCATTTCTATGAGAAAGGAGTCAATGTAGTCTCTTGGTGATGAAGGGTCAAAGTTTTCCTGGTGCTCTTTGATCCTAATTTCTACAAATTCAACTATTTTCTTTGTCAAGATAAATATCGTCTGGTGTGATCCAGGCAGCCACTTCATCAACCAGGGTATTGTATTGTACATCTGCAGAGCAGGAAGACAGTGACCAGATTATCTAATTGACTGGCCATATTAACATAAGCAATAATAAAGATCATTATTACTGTGTGTTCATGAATTTTAGGTTTGAAACCTGCAGCTGTATCATTACATGAAAGGCCCTCCCTCCTGCTTTTGCAGCCTTTTTGTTGTTGCAGTGCGTTTGGCCTCTCAGGGCCACCGTATTAATGTAATAACTTAAAGGTGGGATAATTATTTAGTTGAATTAGTTCATGTATAGGTAATTAGGTAGGTCATTTGTTTGTTTTCATATTAAGTGTGTTTATTATTGGATGGCACCTCTATACAGGGCATAAGTTGGGCATGCACCAAAACAAAACAAAACAAAGAAAACAAAAGGGCAATTTAGTTAAGAGTGAAGTCACACAGCTTTGTGACCTGTCTGTCTCTCTTCATTTTTAAAATGGTTCGAACAATTTAGTGTGAAACATATCACTGCCACAATGTTTGTAATGTGTCAAAGTAAAAAAGGCTCAATGAAGTTTATTAAAAAGTCTTTTTGAGCTGTTTGCTTGGAACTGTGAATTAATTTAAGGCTAGAAGTCAGGGGTGTCAAGCTAAGGCTTCATTCATTAGGATTTACACTCATCATCACGGTGTGATTGGTTTTAAAATAGCAACAAGCAGCTCTGCTTAAATTGTTTCCCTTACTGTATCTAACCAGGAAATGTTAGAAAATGAATGGATGAATTGGTTCTGTTTGGCTTTTACAGGCGATGGG